AGTATTTGCATCAAATGCAACACGGGAAAATGTATACAACAAGTGTGAGAACTGCGCAGCACATTGTTATTTATGTGAGAACAAAAAGTGTTTGATATGTAATGACACTTTTTTATTAAATAATGAAAATGTCTGTGTTGAAGTAGAAAATAAAATTTCAAATGGTATATTAACTGTTCGGTGTAATGACACTTTTTATATAACAAATGGCGTTTGTAACAACTGTACATCAAAATATGAACACACTGTTTTGTGTAACAAAAACAATACAATTTCATGTGAAGCAGATTATAACATTTAACGTGAGGGAATATGCATTTCATCAATTTGTCAAAATAAAACATTAATTGAAGAAAATTGGATGTGTAATTTACCAGAAGCTAATTGTGTATTTATTGTAAACAATAAATGTGTTGAATTTGAAAATGACTACATTGTTGATGTTAAAAAACATGTGTGAGTGTTACAAATGACACTTTGTCAATTGATTGTGTTTTATATAATAAATATGGATGCATATCATGTGACATTGGATATAATTTGTCAAATACAAAATGTCGTCAATGTTCCGAGAATTGCGCAAATTGTACTGGCTTTAAAACAAAGTGTCTTTCATATAAGTATGGGTATTATCAAGGCGATAATTACACGTGTTTTTTAAGCACAGAATTGTTAAAAAAAAGTGCGACAAATAATCACAAATTACGGGTGGGTGTTATCAATGCAAAACGGGTATTACAGAGTTGGAACGGATTGCATTGAATGTCTTTTGAATTGCTCAACATGTATTACAAAAGACACATGTTTGACTTGCAATTTAACAAATTACAAAACACAAAGTGGAAATTGTTTGCCACAAAACAGTGTCATTGGCTGTGCTGTCGAAGTCACACAAAATGGGTGTTCTAAATGTCAAGATGGGTATTACACAGTCAATTACAATGAGTGTGAAGGTGTCATGGCAACTGCACAACATGCACACAACACGAAAAATGCACATCCTGTGTTAAAAACATAATTTTATTTGAAAGTGGACTTTGTCTTGATATTTCATATGTATTACAGTGTATTGAAATTTCAAATTCAAAATGCTCCAAATGCATATTTTGGCACTCACCTAATAATAATGGAACTTTGTGTGAGAAACATGTGGTTTGGTGGGTACTTCTCATTTTTATTTAGTTTGCCATTTTCATGATAACAATATTTATATTGTCGTTTGTATTAACAGTGAAATACATTGACAACAAAATGCATCACAAAGAAATTGCAAAGACAACAACACTCTTTAAAATGAGTCGCTCAAACATCGCATTTATTCAACTTGGTGATGACGTTGTTGTGAACAAAACAGAAATATAATTTGGTGAAGACGTCTATGTCAACACACAACAGCAAGAACTTCTGTGTGTTGGGAACATATCAAAGGACAACATGAAAATTCAAATCACAACAAAAAATGCAACAGTCGAGAAATATCTATTTGAGTCAAATCCGAAAATAATAGTGTTGCCAAGTGGCGAAGCGTGCGAATTTGAGATATTACTGACTTTGAAATGCACAACTAAAATGGATGAGAGTGTTTTGTTAGTCGCAAACTCGTTCACAAAAAGAGATGATGTTATTAAGAAACTAACAATAACAGCAACTTCAAAACTGATGACACGACTTGATCCAGAAGAGTTGGTAGAGGATAACATACTTGGTGAAGGATCTTTTGGAATTATTTAACAAGGGACTTTCAGATAAAACATTGATGCAATTATAAAGATGAAATTATGTGGTAATGAAGACACAATTGAAGAATTTGAAAAGGAAGTGAATATGTTGGACAAATTTCGGAGTGAATACATAGTCTACTTCTATGGTGCAGTGTTTATTACAAATAAAGTGTGTATGGTCACTGAATTAGCACAATATGGATCTTTATAAGACTTGATAAAACACAAAATAAGTGAAGAAGTTGACATGAAATTGCGAGTAAAAATATTGTTAAACGCAGCAAATGTAATTTCATATTTGTACTCAAATAATATTTTACACAGAAATATCAAGCCAGACCATATTCTTGTGTTCCGACTTAATTTAAACAACAATGTGAATGCTAAGTTGACTGATTTTAAAGCAAGTCGAAATGTCAACATGTTGATGACGAATATGACTTTCACTAAGGGAGTTGGAACACCCAAATATATGGCACCCGAAATCTAGAACAAAGAGCATTACAAAAACCAGCATATGTTTATTCTTTTGCTATTACAATGCTTGAATGCTTTTTGTGGGGTGAGGCGTTCCCAAAAAGTACTTACATATTTCCATGGACTTTTGCATGTGATGTACCTTCTGGAAAAAGACCAATGACCATTAAAACACTTGATAAAAAGTATAGAAATGTCATTGAAAAGTGTTGGAAACAAAAGATTCAAAAGAGTGGTACTATCAATGAAATCATTGACGAGCTTAAAACAACAATTTAAAATATTGTTTTAATACATTAATACATTGTTATTTTCGAAATATTTCATAACATACAGTTTACTATGAAATATACAATTTGAATATCATTAAGACATACAATTTGAATCCAATTAATAAATGTGAGTAAATAATAACTATTCACTTAATAATGTATATTTATTTTAAACTTTTAATTAAGATTTTTATTTTAACAAACCTTGATATTTTTACATGACAATTTTTATTGTTTTCACAATTATATTATTGCAAAAATCAACATTTATCAACTTTTGTAAATTAAAAAAATAAATGTTTAATAATTCAAATGTTGTTTTGATGTTTACAAAAATATTGTCAACTTGTATGTACAAATTTTATTGTTTAAAATTTAATAATTATTTTATGACCTAAATATAATATTTACATTATTTACATTAAATATAAACATATAACAACAGTTGTTAACTGTTAACAGTATTTTAAATTAATGTATTTAATTTAGATATGATTTGATTGAAATGTAATTTAACAAATTTTTTGTTTGTTAACACAATAATATTAAGTGAAATTATTGAACACAATAATTATCAGTAAATTCAATATTTGTCAAATAATAAAAAACATGTTTATAAAACGATGCAAACAATGCAAAACGACAATTAAATAATATAGGTTAACTTTGATTTTATTTCTTTTTAATTGTTATCAAAATTTTTATTTATTAATATAAATAATTAAAAATAATAGTTCCAAAAACAAAATTGGATTATTTATTAAAATTAATACATGCAAACCACAAATTGAATCTGATTTATCTCTTTATTAAAAGTGTTTAAGTCACTTCATAAACATGTTTATAAAAATATAAACATCAACTGTATATAAAATGCAAGAGGTGGGGTTCGAACCCACGCCTTCGAAAAGACTCGTACCTGAAACGAGCGCCTTGGACCACTCGGCCACTCTTGCTTTGTTATAATTTTTAATAAAATATAATAAACTTTTGTGATTCAAATGATAATTATAATCCAAATAGAAAATAATATAACAAATAGACAGATAAATTAAAATATTTTAATGTTAATTCTACAATTAAACTTAATAACATAAAAAATTATCAATTTTATTTAATCTATAGTAAATAGATAATTGAAATATTATTATTTATTGCTATTAATTTCTAATTGTTAATTGTGTCAGAATAGAACAAATTGAGTTGTACAATAAAATAATAAGCGATTTATTTTATTAACTTTTTATGTTTGATATTGACAATATCACATCAACTTCAACCTGGTATGGACAAAAAGGTGTATTACATCGGAACAAACAAGCAATAATAAAAACACAATTCAAAATGTGACAAGTATTTTTTTAAAGTGTAAAATTGGTTTTAAAATGATACCCATTTAATTCATTAATTTTTGATTTTGAAACGGACAGTTACATAATTAATAATGGTATGTACATTTGTGTTTAACGTTATGAACAAGCAACATCAAGTGATAACGATAAGTTTAAGTTTAATTTTTAATCTTTGTCAATAAACAACACCTAAGTACTAATATTACTGCAACAACACTTCCAGGTGAGTCTCAAAATTACACACATAATAATACTTTTTATACTTAAATTTTGTGGTGGTAATGGTCATTATTATGTAAGTTATGATGTTGTTTTTCTATGTCTTTAATACGATTTGTAAAAACAACTTAATCGTTTAAATACACTATTAATTAAAAAATCCAACCTTTACAATCAACAGTCGTTTCCAAAATGTAACATATAACAATACCTCACAAAAATGGTACCTTTAAAGAACGGGTTCTTTTAAGAGTGTACATTTATTCGACTAAAACTTTAAATAGTGTTTTTTATATAGCGGTAATCAAGGTTTGGTTGGCTAAAAATGCCCGCTCTTGAGAAAATTAAAATTACCAGACTTCCCACTTTTGAAACGTTTGACTGTAGTAGTGATATCATGCAGCAAAAAAAAAATAAATGTTAAAAATAAAAATAATGCAATTTTTTTAACATTCAAGTATAATTTATACTTTATAAACAATTGGCTGATTTATTAGTGAAACTTTAATTGTTTTGTTTCTTGTCTTTTTTATAGTTCGATTTATTTAAAGTGATAATATTGTTTATAATAAAATTTATATTATATTTTTCATAAAGTTCTGAAAAATGAAACTACAGTAAATATTACTGTACTAAAAACTGAAAAACAACAAATGGAAAACCAATTAAAAGATTTATCAACATTATATACAAATACAGAAAAGGCGATTTCAGACCTCCAAGCATTAAAAATAGAAAACAACTATGTTGACAACGAGTCACTTGACATTGCACAACGCATTGAAAATGCAGAGGGGTACTTTGACAGACTTGATGAGACCATTAAAAGAAAAATAAACATTACAACTTCACTCAACACAATTGTCATTGATTTGGATAACATTTCAGATAAAATCAAAAAATATTTGGCTTTGTATC